AAAAAAAAAAAAAAAAGAATAATTGAAAAGGAAGAAATAAAAGTCGCTGCTCTGCTACAGTGGTGAGACAGACAGGATGTGCTGGGACCTGTGGACACACACAGGTGGCACAGGACAGCTTGTGAGTGCCCAGCACACTCACAGGACACGCAAAGGATGCCCACCGAAGGGGTCTGGAAGCAAAACCCTCCAATCTTAGAGATGTTTCTGCCCCATGGCTTTACCAAGTGTTAGGTCCACCCATTTACCCAGTGGAGTCTTCAAGCTCCTCCCTCAGGGACAGCCTTAAAGAGTGTGGGCTCTGACCTTCTCCCTCTGACCCACTCCGTCAGGCAGCAATTTCCAATTTCCGGGGATAGACCCTCCACCCAGCTGCTCCTGGCAGCAGCCCAGCACTATGGGCACCTGTGCCCCTGTCACCACCCTCTTTAAAACCAAATGCTGAACCTGCACCCGTAGCTTAAGAAGCCTCTTTAGCCTGGCTGTGGGTGACACCCTCTTCAGCCCTCCCGCCACCTGCCAGTCCCCTGGCTCCATCTCCCACCCTCCCCACCATGTCCCTAATCCCCGGGTCACCCAGCTTGGCCTGGAGGCTTAGCTGCATTACTGTCCCCTCCTTTGGGAAGCCTGGAGACTCCAATGTTCCCTCGATTGCCAGCCCCCTAACGGCACGGGCACACACTCTGGCCTGGCAGGTGGTGAACTTCTTGGGCATTCACTCCTGAAACCTCAGTTCTTCACCCACAACACAGTGATTATCTGCCCAGCAGCACGGGAGGGGTATTTGCTTCCAGTACACAGACCTGTGTGGCTCAGGCCTGGAGGGCAGGGGATGGGTGGTGGCAGGTCAGGGCCCTTTCAAGCCAGGGAGGACTCCCCTCCCTGGGCCTTGGGGGCCTCATCAGTTCTGAGGCTGGCGGTGGCTGCCTGTGGCCTGGTACTCTGGACAGGACACCTGCAGTGGGGGGAGCAGATCAAGCTGGGTCCTGTAGACCCTCTCCTAAGGACCCTTCAGGACACACTTCTGCCCATCTTAAGTTCAGGAATAAGAAATCGCTCTTCTCAGCCCCTAGACATGGTTGCTTGTGTGGAAAGAAAGGTTCTCACGCTCATCTGACCGGCAGGCCGGTCTCAGAAGGGAATGAAGGTCCCGTCCCTAACCGCACCCAAAGCTGGAAGCCTCCTCTCCGCCTGCCGCAGACACGCGCTACAGAGGCGCCTGGGCTGGACCTTGGACTTGGGCGAACGCGCGGTGACTGAGAGCGCAAGGGCGGGGGTTGAGGGCGCGGTGGCCGGGGGCGCGGGATTACAAGCGCGGGGTGGGCGAGGGCGGCGGGCGGCCCCAGGTGGGGCGGGGAGTCGTCTGCAGCTCGGACTCCGCAACTCACCTGTCATGCTTTTCTGGACGCGCCCGCCTCCCTTCAGAAGTTTGGACCATTTTATCGCTCTTCTCGTGAGTATCACCAGATAGGCGGAAAAAAACTCTTCGTAGGCTGCATAATCAAAGTCTTCAGGTCTTTCAAATCCGTACGGATCAACCCTGCGACACATACGCACAAAATCCTCGTGTTCCCATAATAAAGTTTCCACGCCCGCACGTGCGCCCGAAAGAGTCGGGAAGTCGGGGTGCGCTCGGAGCGCGGGGAGAACGCGAGCTTGCGCAGGGACCGTCGGCTCACTATCGGACCCGCACCCTGTACCCTGCGCCACCTATTCGGGACCTGGACTCCGCGCCCAGGATCCTGCGCCCCGCACTCCACACCCCGAGACGCCCACCCCGGGACCTTGGCTCCCGCCGCCCACCTGGGAACCCGGACCCGAGACTCCTGCGCGCGCTCGGGGGACTCCATGCCGGGGGAGGCGCTCACTGAGCCCTAGAGAGTGGGTCCCAGTTCGCCTCCCGGGTCCCCGGCGCTAGAGTCCTTCCGGAGGGGGAGGGGCGGAGCAGGGACGGGGCGGGAACCAAGGGCGAGGGGCGGGGCGGAGGGGTGGGGACAGGGCTGACGAGGAGGGGCTGAGGGAGGCGGGGAAGAGCTACTGGGGGGCTGAGGGGCGTCAGGCGTGCGGCTGGAAGTGCTCCTGCCCCAGGAGAGAGTGGCGTCCTGGCTGAGACACCTCCCTCCGCCGGCTGAGATGGGTGGAATGGTCTTGGGATGGGAGTGGGATGTGGGTGGGATGGGGAGGGCACGGGTTGGGAGATGCCAGGATGGGGATCTGGGGCTGGTACGGCATGGGGGCTCTTTCCGCAGCCCCCCACCCACCCCACGCAGCCCGGATAGAAGATTGGAGAGATTGACCCCGTGTGGATTCTTCTGAGATTCCTTCAAACCGCAGTGCCAAGCAGACCAGACTTCGGATATTTGACTCCTATTTTTATTTCTTTATGTGGAAAAAGACAAGTCTTATTTGCTCCGCTACGTTTCAAGGCTGAAACCTCAAATAAACTAGATGCCTCAGGTCCCAACTCCCACCTGGGAAACCCTCCCTGTACCTGCCAACCCAAGCCAGGGACCAAGGGCGCGGCCCCAATTGCGGAGACCCCCGCCTTGGGAAAACCGAGAGCTGCGCACGGACTGCCGCGAGGCCCCGCAGATTAAGCGCGGCCAGGATTAACGTGTGGGCGTTGTGGCCTCTTCCTGGCCTTGGTCCTGGATCTGGCAGCTTCCGGCCCAGCCTCTGCCTCACTGCCGGGGAACCCCACCCTGGCTTGCCACCTGTCTCCAGGGCAGCTCCGGTGTTCAGCTTCTCCTGTGGCCCCATCACAGCTTCCTAAGACATCTCAACTCTACTTCTACTCTATCTGGGAGATCGTCAGAAATTTGCCTAGACTGAGTGTTTTGAATTTTGCTTTGGCCATGTGGTGCGGTAAAGAAGTGACCTCAGCCCTCCACCCCCAAAAGCAGTTTCAGAAAGGTGGGCCATCAAGAAGGCCTGTCCCCACAATTGTTGAATGACCGGTGCTGTGGAAAACATGCCTTCCAGGGTGGGACCCACGGCCCCTGGGAAATTGGTGGGAATCATATCGACCTGAGGCTTCTGGGCCTCCAGGAACTAACTTGGGAAGCTCCTGGCGTGTCCCATCTAAGCACTAAACAGGGATCCTGGGACTAATTCACAGCCAGGGACCACCCAACCCCTGGTCTGGCCTGGTGTCTGTGCATGTCCTGGCTCTGCACCCAGAAGGGCTGTAGGAAGCCCGCACTGGGCTGAGCAGAACCCGGACCAGCGACTCAGACGGTTGTCGTTTGGTGGTTCTGAGAGAAGCTACTCAAGCCTTCAGCTAAGGTCCTCCACATTTTGCTTCCGAAAGACACAGTCCCTTCCAAGACCAGACAGCCCCTGCCTGGGCTATGATTTCCTGACTCAGACTTGTAGGCCCTGCAGGACACAAATCTCTACTCAGAGCTGACCAGTGGGATACCCCCAGGGCCTCCCTTTTCTTTACTCCTGAGAAGAGGATCCCAGCACCCTATCCAGAACTGACTGGGCCTCACTTCCTGCATCCTGTCGCCCTTTCTGCACTCGTCCCACTGTCCTGCTCCCCACTTCCCTCCATTCAGTATCTTGTGCCCCCAAACCACCCTGGCTTCCTGGCTGCCAGGCCCACGACTTCAAGGCCCCTCCCCCATCCCTGCCCTCTGTAGATGGACACAGGATTCCAGTCCCCAAGATGAGGGGCCGTGCACTCAAGCATGGGCACCGGGCACTGTTCACACTGAGCCATTCAGATAAGAGTGGCCGCCCTCCAGGAAAAGAGAGGAGAGATGCAGGGACTCACTCTCTAGGCCCCACCTCCCAGCCTCCGGCCCCAGCCCAGCCCAAGTTTAAGGCACAGGAAATAGCAGGACCACTGTGTCCCAGAGGTGCCCCATACTCCCCCAGTCCAAGAACCTTCACTGCTGTTCCCTTTCTGCGAGGCAGCCAGGCTTCACCTGGCCAGTGAATCTGCCTCGGGGCCTGCTAACCACAGCCTTTCACAGCTTTCCAGGGTTAAAACTCTTAGCCAACCTGTGCCCAGCACTTAGGGAGGAGGCACCTTCAGTCTGAGGGGCCCATGGGCCACATCAGGGTCTCAGTGGGGTCACCACCCAACAGATGGGCCTTCTTCCTTCAGGAATTCAGCGTCTCCTTGCTTTTTGGTAAAAGCTGCTACCCTTTGGAAGTCAGAAGTGCTTCCAGCATATCTGAGTTCTGGAGTGCCCGCCCCCACCAAGATGAACGGGTATCCGGGAGTCCATCAGTGGCACGAGGACCTGTGAAGAGCTGACAGGAGCCCATTGCAGGTGGTCCCCATGGAGGGGCATCCCCAGGGTACCCGTTCCAGAAGCCTCAGGCAGGGAGAGGGGCAGGACTAGTGGAGCTGCTGCTCAGGCCCTGAGACACTGCAGAGTGCAGTGGGCCAGCTGTTGCACCTGATGTGGCCTGGGGTGGCCTTGGCTGCATTTCTGACCAGAGGCTGTGTGGCCAGGGCTGGAGGCAGGGAGAGTGTGCCACAGCACTCTACCCAGGGTGACAGCTTGAGGCTCTGTCTCAAAAAAAAAAGATTCAATGTGCCAAGAAGAGCCACAGCAGAGGACAAGATTTAACCATAGGGCTGTTGAACTAGATGACCTCGGAGTTTGGGACTGAGGATTTTCAGGGGGTTGGGCGAGTAGCAGGCATGACTGGCAGAGTGTGAGGTTCCTGTGGGTTCCTGTGGGGTCTGCAAGCCAGTTGGCTTTGAGATCAGAAAAACATCTTAAGCAATTCTTAAACCAGAGCTCTGTGTCTACTGGCAGAGCTGTCAGCGGGACACCTGCATGCACTGCTTGCTGTGTGATGGCTGGTCACAGGAAGAGGACCAAAGTGCAGCCGGACTGATGCTTAATTGTCCTGTGTTTCCGTCCAGAACCTGGCATGGGATGCTCATTAACCCTGTAAGCTTCAATGTGATGAAAGTGGCGTATCCAGAGAAACCCGCTTACACCTGGAACAGGCTGTCAGATTTAGCAGATAAACTTGCAAACACAGGACCCCCAGGGAGGGACATGGATGTTCCCTCCATACGCCTGGCTCAGCAGCTGGGACTTGGCAGACAAAGCAATAAAAAACAGATTAGAGAGAGAAAAACAGTTTATTTATTTATTTATTTATTTTAGAGACAGAGTCTCATTGTATTGCTCTCGGTAGAGTGCTATGGCGTCACAGCTCACAGCGACCTCCAACTCCTGGGCTTAAGTGATTCTCTTGCCTCAGCCTCCAAGTAGCTGGGACTACAGGCACTCGCCACAATGTCCAGCTATTTTTTGTTGCCGTTTGGCTGGGCCCAGGTTTGAACCCACCACCCTTGGTACATGGGTCCAGCGCCTTACCCATTGAGCCACAGGTGCCGCCCGAGAAAACAGTTTAAACTGTAGAAGCAGACGCAGTAGATCGACAAAAAAAGTAGTTTAAGCAGGTGGCTGGAGTCAGGGGCTCAGACACCCTCTTGGGCCATCCAAGGACAAGATTTGCTTGTTCAGTGAGGTGTGTTATATAGGTTTAAATCTGTCCCTTTTCCACTTTTTTTTTGAGACAGAGTTTTACTATGTTGCCGTGGGTAGAGTGCTGTGGTGCCACAGCTCTTAAGTCAGCAATTCTCAACCTGTGGGTCGCAACCCACAGGAACTGTGTTAAAGGGATGCGGCATTAGGAAGGTTGAGAACCACTGGCTTAAGTGATTCTCTTGCCTCAGCCTCCTAAGTAGCTGGGACTACAGGGGCCTGCCAAAAAGCTCTGCTATTTTTTTGTTGTAGTTGTCATTGTTGTTTGGTAGGCCCAGGTTGAATTCAAACCCGCCAGCCTTGGGTGTATGTGGCTGGCACCCTAGTCGCTGAGTTTACAGGCACTGAGCCCCCTTTTCCACTTTTAAGAGTGGTCCTTCCTACAGGGAGAGTGAGGCGCCTTTACGAGTGGAAATTGTCTTTATAAGTGTGAATTTTCTTTATAAAGGAGACCCTTATACCCCACATTTAGAGTTTCCCTTCATCCATTGTTCCTCAGTTGCCTCCAGCTCAAAACAGTCCTGTGCCAAAGCAACATATTTGGGGAGGGGCAGAGTCTGGCCCCTTCACTCTTTATCTGAAATTCCAATTTGAGCATTCCCTGTTGTACCTTGAAATCCTGCCCTGGGAGTGTAGTGACCCAGATTTCTTTAAGTAAAGGGTAAGGAAATCTTTCTGTCCTGGAGGATTTTTTTAAAGAGCTTGTTTGCTTAGAAAGAACAATTATGTCTTCTGTTTCCCGGCCTTTTCTTTTTTCCCTTTTTTTTTTGAAGACAGTCTCACTTGTTGCCCTTGGTAGAGTGCTGTGGAGTCTTAGCTCACAGCAACCTCAAACTCTCAGGCTCAAGTGATTCTCTTGCCTTAGCCTCCTGAGTAGCTGGGACTACAGGTGCCCACCACAATGCCCAGCTATTTTTAGATACGAGATCTCGCTCTGGCTTGGTTTGGCCTCGAACCTATGAGCTCAGGCAATCCACCTGCCTCGGCCTCCCAGAGTACAGGGATTATAGGCATGAGCCACCGAGACGGGCCTGGGCCTTTTTTCCTTTGAAGTGTCCAGGCAGCCTGCCCACAGCATCTATGTCCTCATGGACCCCCATCCCTGGAGCCCTCAAAGCAGAGGAGGCTCTGCTTTGCTACCTCACAGGGTCTCAGGTGGACGGTTATGGGACTGACTTTGTGAAGAAGCAACACGGTACAGGGCCCTCCAGGGAGAGCTTTGAATACACAAAGGTAAATGTCAACAATCTAGATTAAGAACCAAATGTTTGGAATGTTAACTTTTTTTTTCATTGATACTGATAACAGGTTTCCAGTCAATATGCCCAGCTGCTTGGAGGTGACAGGGCAAGGTAAGGTCCAGGTGTGTGGGCAGCGGGCCTCACT